GTTGCGTACATCAACCGACAAGGTGGTCTGCGCTCCCGTCGCTTATCGCAACTCGCCCGCCACCTCCTCCTCTGGAGTCAGAAGCATCTGAGGTCGCTTCGTGCTGTTCACATTCCTGGGCTGCTCAACCGGACAGCCGACGAGCTGTCCCGAGCTGCGCTCCCGGGAGAATGGCGACTCCATCCCCAGACGGGCCAGTTGTTCTTCGTCCTGACCGAGGGAATTGCATTGGCTTGTTTAGTTTACACTCGAAGTAGATTGGTCCCTCTAAGCGAGATCCCAATTCGTCGGTCCTCCGACGTGACGTCTCCGTTCCCTCCTTCAGGGAACGAGGGTTACATACGTAACCGAGACGTTCTCCTAACAAGGACAAATAAATGTTGTCCTCCAGATCCTCCAGTTCTTCTAACAAGGACAAATAAATTAATCTTTGCATTAGTGACCCAGATCTTTCGCTGGTAGGCTTTGATGGACTGTTCTTGGTGCATCATGTGAGTGTTTGGCATCTTCCACCAGTCAATAGTGCCATTAATTCAGGTACTGATTATAATGTTAAAGAACTGTGAACTTTTCATACATGTAACAACAAGAGCTGGTCGCATTTGAAAAGGCAATCCTACAAAGAACAACTACTACAAAAAGTACTGAGGAAGGAGCCTTGAGACAATTAGGCCCTTGTTTTTACAGTGAAAACATACCGAATGACATTAAAGGTGCCAACACATGCATCTTTTTATAGGCTGATTACGACATAGGGTTGATGTCGAATCAAAATGTTGTCATCAGAGCTATCAAAGATTCATCCAGCTATGTGACATACGTAAAACTTGGCGCCATCCAAGATTGCATACTTCAGTACTATATTGTAGCCAAAAAAACAGTATGTGAACAGAGTAGTATGTCACAGTACTCATGAAACAGTAAGCAATAAATACCCAGATGACCTACTATTATCAGTGAGATTCTTAAGTGCACATTCAGTGGACAATTTACTATCCCATGATGCCAAGGGAGAGGATTTGTGAATGGTAGTGAAATAACACAACTAACATAGACATCAAAGAGGGCTTGAGCACCTGCCCTTTTTCTTCCTCAAGAGAAAGTGCCTTTTTTTATTATAAATGAATATATGTATGTGTTCATGTGTATGTTTCTGTTTGCGCACAGCTTTCCCTTTCAAACAAATAAAAACTCAAAATATCTGGTCAGGTTTATTAACTCTGTCGAGTTCCGATGCCTTTCCCCACGTCTCTGCAGCACAGCAGTGTAGCACACATTGATCGGCACATCACAGATAGACAGACAGAGAGCCGCTGAAGTGAAGCCCTCCCTCCCTTTCCAGTTGTGTTTGTCTTGCTGTGGAGGTGAGTGGTGATGAACAAAAGACTAAGCTACCTGTGCATCGAATTTACAGCTAATTATCCAAAAGACAAATATATTTAATTTGTCTTGCTAACATCCATGTCTCATGAGAGCTACCATGTAAGTTAGCTAAAGTTAGCTAAGGCAATAGGAAGTCTAGTATGTTACACCAGTGAACGTTCTTTCACTGCATGATTCAGTTTAATAAAATGCATTTAGAATGATAAGAAAAATCAAGATATGGGGGCAGAAATGTATATATTTATTTCATTTCATATAGTTTCATATAATTAATAGTTATACTGCAGTTCAATAAACACGAATTTAGTATTAAGACACTTAAATTGTTGACACAATATTTACTGTTTTTGCTCTATTTCGCCAACAAATATGATTCCAATTTGCATCTCTGAGCAACATGATGGTGTTTCCTTCCTGAATGAATCAACCGTTTAAATGATTCGGTTCAATCGCAATGACTCACTTATTAACAGTGACTCGCTGCCACCTACTTGCAGTTTTAATTTCACATTTAAAGTATCTTTTAATTTTTTTTTTTTATAATTTCAAATATCAGTATTCAACGTTTTATGTTTAAAATATCAAAACAGTATTATTGCAGTTGTAACTGCAGGATAAAACAGTCCTGCATTAAACAGTGTGTAAATGCATCTAAATGCCCCTTCTAATGCAGCTTCTGGGTTTTCTCTGCATTGCAAAGATTAATTTTGTCAATACTGATTTCATTTGCTTGGTAACAGCCCAAATGACTTATTATTCTAGTTGACTGATTCAATTTAAGAATCTGACTGAAAAGATGATGCACACTTTTAGAAAAAAATGGCTTAAAAAAGGTACAAATCCATTTAAACTTATTGGAAAAGATTTATTTTTACCACTTGTGCCACCTGACCACCTCAGATTCAACAGGCTCTATGTTTAGGCATTGATAGTGCAAGGGGTGCATGTGCATGAAGTAGAATGTCATGTGTTGTGAATGTCTCGAAAACAGTAATTACGACATGGCATGAATGCATATCAGTAACTAACGTAATACAATTATTGCAAAAGGTGTTTACGCATCATTTTAAAAATATTTTCACAGGTATTTTAAAGGTGGCATAAATGCTAGTTTGTAAAATGTTTCCTAACTATATATCAAATTCGAATACTAAAACAACCGAATTTCATTCACTGATTTGAATAAAGTAGGCTACCACTGTTTCCAGAACTCTAGTAAGTTACGGTTCAGTAAGCAAGCAAGATTGATTCAGTACTAACAGTTCAGACTCATAATTGTTCTTGATTCAAAAAGAATTATTGATTAATTGATCAAAAAGAAGGTTTCTTTGATTCACTAAAAAGAACCGGCTCACAAGTTATTCGTTCAGCAGGCTAATGGGATTGTTCGCGTTGTAGCTTCAGTGATTATGTTGTTGAGTGTATTTTATTACAACTGTGCCGCCTGCATTGACAGAAGAAAGCAAAGCCTTTTATATATATGTATATATATAATGACCCTGGACCACAAAACCAGTAATAAGGGCCAATTTTACGACATGGCATGAATGCATATCAGTAACTAACGTAATACAATTATTGCAAAAGGTGTTTACGCATCATTTTAAAAATATTTTCACAGGTATTTTAAAGGTGGCATAAATGCTAGTTTGTAAAATGTTTCCTAACTATATATCAAATTCGAATACTAAAACAACCGAATTTCATTCACTGATTTGAATAAAGTAGGCTACCACTGTTTCCAGAACTCTAGTAAGTTACGGTTCAGTAAGCAAGCAAGATTGATTCAGTACTAACAGTTCAGACTCATAATTGTTCTTGATTCAAAAAGAATTATTGATTAATTGATCAAAAAGAAGGTTTCTTTGATTCACTAAAAAGAACCGGCTCACAAGTTATTCGTTCAGCAGGCTAATGGGATTGTTCGCGTTGTAGCTTCAGTGATTATGCTGTTGAGTGTATTTTATTACAGCTGTGCCGCCTGCATTGACAGAAGAAAGTAAAGCCTTTTATATATATGTATATATATAATGACCCTGGACCACAAAACCAGTAATAAGGGCCAATTTTTTTTTTTATTGAGATTTATACATCTGCATGTTACTAATCAAAAATTAAATTTTGATATATTTACAGTAGAACATTTACAAAATATCTTCATGGAACATGATCTTTACTTAATATCCTAATGATTTTTGGCATAAAAGAAAGATCTATAATTTTGACCCATACAATGTACTTCGGCTATTGCTTCAAATATACCCCAGCGACTTAAGACTGCTTTTGTGCTCCAGGGTCACATATGGTCTAGGTTTCCATCTGCAGTGTGTTCAAGCCATCTTGAAAATAATATCAACAGACAACTATTTATGACCCAGCTGATTGTTTTACCTCCAGGAACATTATTGGAGCATCTTGCAAAATAATTCAGCTACTGCAGCAGCAAAAGCTGACCACATCTGGACCGCTCACAGGGTTAATGCTCGTGACGGAATAGAAAGCGCGATTGCGTCCTCCGTTATGTCTTACAATAGCACACAAACAATTTGATCTGCTAATCATCACTCACACACACACACACACACACACACACACACACACACACCATATAACAGACTGTGCGCACGCATATCAAAAGAAAATTGATTTCTTTTCCTCAACGCTTCCTTCCAAGCGGTTAACTGTGTGCTGCCACACGACCGGACTGCGAACATCAGCAGCTTTTACAAATGCAGCAGGGATCACTTACGTTTCAGTCACCGATATGCTCCATGATTTGACGGTATATGCAGATCAGTGTTATGATACACAGCGGTCTCCGCAATTCCTTCGTTTGCGCTGCATTCTGGACTCGCCCTGATGTGACGTCACCGCGCATCACGTCCGAGTTGTTGCTCTAAGCCCCGCCCCGTTCACAGATCGCGGGAATCAGAGACCATGCGTTGTCCGTGTAAGATTTGAAACATGTTGTTTTTTAAAAATTGTTTATTCGTCTGCCTGTGTTAAAAAACGCCTCATGAAAATGTTTCGGTGCGTAATTTACAGACTTGAACGAGCGCGTGACAGGTGCGGTAACGGAAGCCCGTGACTGCCATCTAGTGGTTACGGCCAAGCACTTCTACATAATAAACTGCAGGTGGACGAAGTGAAATATACATTCTGTGACACCGTACTACTGTATACTCTTCCATTCTGCAACATTCTGTGGCACCTGCCATAATAACATAGCCATTTAACATACACGAGTTTAGGTTGAATAAAGGTGAAATCTTTAGATTTTTTTCCCAGTAGGCCTATGGTTAAAATAAAATAATTGCATTAATATTTTTACTTTCTTTTTAAAACCTCTAAACCTTTAAATTAGCACGGGAGTTTTATTTTAATAACTGTTACTATTTTGTCGGAAACTATGGATAATTGTTTTGTAACGCACTGATGCACTCATTTTGAATGCTCGTGAAACTACTTCCTATGAGTTTTACTTCAGAAGTGTTTGTATGGCAGAGAGGAACAGGTTGCCAGGTTGAGAACTAGAGGAAAGCGAAACTACTATTTCAAAGGCAAGGACAGATCAGGTGTGGTAGTCAGCCGGCCCCCATCTGACCACACACCTGCTCATTAAAACAGAGAGCCAAAACTCAAGTCAAGAGTGTGTGCGCTTTACTCAACAAATAGGGACGTAGATGAAGGTAACACTGTTAAAATGTACTAGCAGCTTTAATAATCATCCCATTTTGTTATTATTTTATTAGTTTAGCATATTTTTGTTATACGTTTGTGGTGTTTTTTGTATCAGATTGTGTATTATTTATGTTGAAGTCTTTTCAATCATGTAGCAGTGATGGAGGTGGTTGAAGCTGGAGAAGTTTTTCTGCACATAGGTCATTTTTTTGTGGTGGGTTTGGGAGGTATGCTTTTCGGGGTACCGTTTGGCATTGTGGCAGCCTTAAAAAAAAAAAAAACTGTGACATTTACGGTAAAATACCGGCAGCTGTGGTTGCCAGAACTTCACAGTAAAAATATGGTAGCAACATTTTAGGTTTTACAGACTTAACTTAAATTCACAATAAAATACCGTATTTCATTAACGGATGTAATGTTAATAAACCAACATATTGAAGTACTAATATCTATATATCTAATATCTAATACTAAGATACAATGTTTTGAATCATTGTAATGCAGTGATAACCACCAAAAACTGGTGGTGATGAGAAAGCCACATGATGAAGCAAAGCTCATCACAAACAGCTTTTCTACGAGCTGAGGAGGGCAATACTCACATATAGAAGGTGCACACAGTGCCATTCACACAAACACTAAATACCATCATGGTGACACACATGAAACTGAAATAATGCAATACACATTAAAAAGATGTACAAATCCAAAAACCGTATTTTTAACAGTATTTTACTGTAAAATTACATTAAATGTAATTACATTTATTCACCGAATATAGTATGGAAACTTACTGTTAACCAGTTAACAGGTTTTTACTGTAGCATTTTTACAGTCTTTTACTGTTAAAATCACAATAATTTTTTACAGTGTACTTTTTATATGTCAGCTTCTGGCATATGTATATATTTTGAGAAAATATGGTGCTTAATTTTAATGAGAGGATGCCTTTCAACTTTTTAATTTTGTGCGTAATTTTTTGCATATCTTGGATACGGAGCAAACGTCGATGTTCCTTTTAAACCGACTCCTACTTCTCCATCTAAACTTCCCCCTTGGAGCCCGATGGAGGAGACTGGTCCTGACCCTGACCCGGGTGAAACCACCAAAGCGGTATTTACACTGAACTACCCCCGCATTCAGATCCCGTTTGAGATTACTTCATGGGTGCTACTTGCGTCCTTTGCCAAAATAGGTGAGCGATTACACATTCTACGGCAAGTTGTTATATTCATATATTCTTTTAGACCAACTACTAGTGACTTTTTGATGTTACTAGTAGCCTACTTATTTGTTTTATTACTAGTTAAGTTGTCCAGTACTGAGTCTATTCCAGTTTTACTAGTACCCAACTTATTTATCAGATACACGAGAACACTCGTTTGTGAAACACTATGCAGGTGGTTACAGTAACATTTCTTATCTCAATTTACAATAGGCACTTTTACTTGTAATATGAAATAGCTAGACAGAAAGACATCTTTATTATATAGTTAAATTAGAGTCTTAATAATGAGATTTAAAAATGGTAAAAAGGTAAAACAACAATAACACCAACAAAAACTACTACTATTTAAAAAGTAGGCTACTAGTAACTTAAAAAAGATACAGTAAATTAGATTTAAGGATTAATGAATAGGGTACTTTCAAAAATTTTCCCTGGTTTCACACACACACACACACACACACACACACACACACACACACACAAAGTAACGAGTAACAAGTATTGCTTTTTTCTGAATAGGTTTCCATGTTTACCATAAGATCACGGTCTGGGTGCCAGAGTTGTGTTTACTGATCTCCATTGGTCTCATAGTTGGGGCATAATGCACTCAATGCACAAGGAGCCGCCGGCAGTGCTCACCTCCAATGCTTTTTTCCTCTATATGTTGCCACCCATTGTTCTAGACTCAGGCTACTTTATGCCCATTCGGCCTTTCTTTGAGAATTTCGCTACGGTGCTCTGGTTTGCTGTTGTTGTCATCTTGTGGAATTCCATTGGCATTGGCATCTGCTTGTTTGCCATCTGCCAGATTGAGGCATTTGGTGTGCAGGATATTAACCTGCAGGAGAACCTCCTTTTTGCCTCCATCATCTCAGGCTGTGCTTACTGTGTATGAGGACATCAGCGTCCATGAGCAGCTCTATATTGTGGTATTTGGAGAGTGCCTGTTCAATGATGCTGTCACTGTGGTAAGTCATGTGTGCACATGGATTGTAGATGTACAAAACCAAGTTTTAAAGATTTCAAAAGGGGGTTTTCATAGTGATGCAATAGAAGAACCATTCTGGGTTCCCCAAAAAACCTTCAAGAACCATTTTTTTCTTTTGTGAAAAATATTTTAATAATCTGAAGGACCCATTTCCATTATAAAGAACCTTTTGTGCAATGGAAAGGTTCTATGGATGTTAAATGTTCTTCATGGAAGTGTCAATGCCAATAAAGAACCTTTATTTTTAAGAGTGTGTGAGTCATAGAAATGTCGGGGACAAAGAATGAGACTTATGAGCCATATATTGGCATACTCCCATTTGAAAATATGTGCTTGAAACTTGCTTTTACTTGGTGTATCAGTCAGAAATATTCTTTGATCAAGAACTGTTTGGAAGACACTGTACATGTACCTGTGAAAATACAGAAAGACATCCAGTGTTTTGTAATTAATCAAAAACTATCACAATTTGTTTCAAAAGAAATACGCTCATATAAAATCTCCTTTCAAATCTTGCCCTAGTAACAGATTATTTGAAATCCAAAACTCAACACAAGCCAGTGTAACTACTCGGTCATTTGATACAGGCTAAAACACAGTGGTAAACACAATGTGTATGAACAATGCCACCTTTCTTTATTGTGTCAAACATAAAACAAATACTTAATACTTATTAATACTTAACTATATTTCTTATTTTATTACATTTTAACCAGAATAGTAGAAAAGGAATAGTAACAGAACAGTAAGAGAGAAGTCTGTGTGCTTTTGCTTCTTTCTACAGTAATATAGAAGTTAATGTACAGTTAATATTAAGTATTTGCTTCCGTGCTTGTATATTAGCATTATTGTTTTTGCTTCTTTCTACAGTAATATAGAAGTTAATGTACAGTTAATATTACAAGTATTTGCTTCCGTGCTTGTATATTAGCATTATTGATTTTTCCCCACTCAATGATTGAAATATTTGTTTGCTGCAAAAAACATATACAGTCCTCAGCATAAATAAGTACACCACCTCTAAACAAATACATTTAGTCCCTTAATGATCACTAAAACAATTCATGGAGAGATGGCAAAATTGATATTCAATAAACATATACTTTATAAAAACAGAGAAAATATGAAAAAGGATATCTGTAAAATAAGTAAATTAGCCAATTTTGTTTAAACAAATGGTTGCAAATATGAACACACGCTTGATTCAGTTCTATAAATGTGTAATAGCATGTCCTCAAATCTTATTTTCCTGAATAAGTTTGGCATGCTTTTTTGTTAATTAATCAAGCAGACTTGTTGACAGAATATTATATTGCCAAACAATCCTAAGATGTCTTCTAAGTAAAGAGTAATTGCGGAATTTGTTAACTTTCAGAGGGGGTTAACTCGTTTATGCTGAGTACTGTAATTATGCCTTTCATTGTTTAATTCACATGATTTGATAATTTTGTTGTGAACATGGCAAGTAGTCTTAGTGAATGTTTTACTGTGGGATGCCTGCATGTGTTAAGGCACAGGATACGAATGCAGCTGTGGCGTGCAGTAGGCAGAGTCTGGCTCCTCGCTACAGCTAAGCAGGCCAGAGCCTGGTCGTACACTGGTGGGAGACCATTTGTGAAAATGTAGCTTGCTGCTGCAGCTATAGTTTTAGTCCAGCCAGCAGGAGGTGATCATTCCCTGTAATGACGTGGACTTTAGACTGTGAAAAGGAGCATCCTGCAGATGAGGCATTAAACTGGCCTCCTGACATTCTGTTGTCATTAATTCCCCACCCTTAATCATGAATTTGACCTCATTGTTTAAGCTGGTAGTGCATCCTGATGGCCGCATTGAGCTTGTCAGAATGCGCTACCCCTCTATTAGAGCAGCTTTAATAATCATCCCATTTTGTTATTATTTTATTAGTTTAGCATATTTTTGTTATACGTTTGTGGTGTTTTTTTGTATCAGATTGTGTATTATTTATGTTGAAGTCTTTTCAATCATGTAGCAGTGATGGAGGTGGTTGAAGCTGGAGAAGTTTTTCTGCACATAGGTCATTCTTTTGTGGTGGGTTTGGGAGGTATGCTTTTCGGGGTACCGTTTGGCATTGTGGCAGCCTTCACCACACACTTTACAGGAAAAGTGAGAGAGATCGAGCCTCTAATGATCTTCCTGTACAGCTACCTGGCCTACCTCATAGCTGAGTTTTCTGCCATTTCCAGCATCATGGCGTAAGTAAGGGCTCCTACCTGCATTTTTGAAGATAATAAAAATGTAATTAGCACTGTTTCTACAGTATTGTAATCTGTGCCTTGACTATGAAGTATTACTTCAACTTTAACTTAAACTTCATTTATTTATATAGCACATTCAAGTGCAACTTTGTTGCCCAAAGTGGTTCACAAAATGAAGGATAAAATAAAATACACACACATAACTTATACACAAATAAACAAACATTTAAACAAACTTTATAAAAGGTTTCGAAGTCAAACTTTCTCTACTTCAAAGGCCAGACAAAAAAAAATGTGTCTTCAGTTGGGACCTAAAAACGTTGATTACGTTGAGGAGAATGTGTCCCAGCACTCCTGCACCACTGTTCGGCATGTCATTAAGATGGTTGGAAGTGGGTCGGAAACTCTGATCTTCTTCTTTCCTCTTTCTTTCTGGGTGTTGTTACTATAGCAACAGAGCACGAGTGGAACTGGTGCTACATCCTCTTTACACTGCTGTTTGCTCTGCTATGGAGAGGCCTGGGCATGGGAGATCATTTGTGGAAAGAATTCCCAATTAATAGGAAGTTTTTAATAGAAGCCGGACGCTTCCTTATTGTCATCGGTTATAATTAAAGAATATTACATGAAACAGCATGATTTTAAGTGTGATAATGTTTTTACACAACAATTCAACACACGAGAAATGAATAGTAACCTAGTTTGACACAATATTGCCAGTTTGCCCATTTCCAACAGAAATAGTTCCACAGTTGTTCCACAGAACAACACACAGTTGCTCGTGTTTTGAACAAATCAGTTGAGTGAATGATTCAAATTCATAAAGACACAGGCTTCCGCACAATTCCTTTCAACTTCAAAGATCAGTTTGGTTTGGCCTATGGTGGGCTGAGAGGTGCTGTGTCCTTTGCCTTGGCCTTCACTCTAGACAGCATTGGTCGCAAGAAGCTGTTCATCACAGGCACGATTGTCGTCATCATCTTCACAGTGTTCATTCAGGTACTGTACCTTCTCACAAGAGCGAATGAGTCTTGCTTAGGAGTGCTTGTGTGTAAACTAGCCAAGAATTTCTTTATATGAGCCATGTTTACAAGTACAGTGTTATTATTTGAGTAACTGAGGTCTGAATTTCCCATAACTAGAGCTAGACTGTTGATACCCTAGCCTAGACTGTTGCCCTTTGGGCAAGTTATTTATTTTTCATTGGCTCAAGTTAAAAAATATATGTGAATCATTACCCTAATTTTTTTTAATTGAATGAATGAAACATTTTTTTTCAGTGTGTAAAACATTTTCAGAACATTCTTCAGATGAATAGAAAGTTCAAAAGTTCATTTTATTTTAAATAGATATCATTTGTCGCATTATAATTGTCTTTACTGTCACTTTTGATCAATTTAATGCTCCTGAATAAAAGCATTAATTCTTTTCAAAAAATGTGGTAGTGTACAGTATCCAAATACTATTTCTCTTCTAAAGACCTCTACTAAGACCTCTTCTAAAATTAATGAATGTTTGTCAGACAAATCGAAACCTTGAGACTATCAATGTTGAGATTCACAAAAGGGTATGTTTTCAGTGGTTTCAATTATTTAATCTAAACATACTTAATCAGTAATCAAGATCAATTTAGCTAGTTCTGATGCCATTACTCTGTTTCAGTTAATGGAGCACACTGTTGCTGGCATAAAAGATCTATGTGGACAGTGGAGTCACTACTACTGGAAAGACAAGTAGGAGTTAGACTCTTACATTTAAGCTATTTTTTCACTACACAGCTTTTCAATGGAAAACAGTTCTCTGCTGACACCAGCTTAGCAGAAGTATTTTAGTGTCATGTTTCCACTTTTCTCTGTTATCATTTCACCAGTCTCCCAAAATGTGCCAGTGGTTAGACTGGTCTTACTGCTTTGTCATGTGGACATGTGTTCCCCAATCAGCCTTAGGCTTCTGTAAATGTATCTATCATAAATCTATTTTCTGTTAGTTACTAGTGCAGTGGTTACCCTTGGTTTCTTTTGTTTTGTTTAATTTAGTAAAAAATTGACCTGAATGGATAAAGGACATTTATTCAGTGACTCAGACACCAGCTTAGCAGAAGTATTTTAGTGTCATGTTTCCACTTTTCTCTGTTATCATTTCACCAGTCTCCCAAAATGTGCCAGTGGTTAGACTGGTCTTACTGCTTTGTCATGTGGACATGTGTTCCCCAATCAGCCTTAGGCTTCTGTAAATGTATCTATCATAAATCTATTTTCTGTTAGTTACTAGTGCAGTGGTTACCCTTGGTTTCTTATGTTTTGTTTAATTTAGAAAAAATTGACCTGAATGGATAAAGGACATTTATTCAGTGACTCAATTTAAATGAGGGAGTTAAATATCAATGTACAAAAATCCAGTACATGCTGTTATCTACTGTGATATTGATTTTAAGATTCATTCATTTCTCTGGTTGTCAGGTTCATGACGTTTAATAACCGGATCATTCGCAAGATTTTAATCTGTGATAATCATCCCGAGTCAAGCATTGTGGCCCTGTATAAGAAACTGGAGCTTCAGAACGCCATACTGGACAATATGTCCGGTGAAATCAGTGCAGCTCCCTCTTTAATTTAATTTAATGCAGTACGTCTCCTTTTTGCACTGTAACTTCTTGGCTTGTCCGCCTCTTCTCAGGAATCTCTGAAACAGTTTTTGCCTCTTATTTTTGGTTGAATTGATGTAGCTTACATTTATACAACAGTCATTTCAGTAAAGGTCTATGGTCACAGGGGCATCACAATGATAATTCTTCCCATTGATTTCTGTTTGTATTTTACAATAGCGAAGAAAGAAAGTATGCCTCAAAGTCCAGGAAGAAGTTCTTGTCATCTGATGTGACAAATATGCATGAACTCTTATCAAAGAACATGTACAAGATCAGACAGAGGGTGAGTTATGACAGAATGTCCTGAATTTACAATAGTGGAATTGCTGAAAGAAACTAAACAAACAACACCAACAAAAAAAAAAACGCCACCATTAAAAAAGGAAAAAAGCAGTCAAATGTTCATACAAAGAAATTAGTTACGAAATTGATTATTTTTAGGGCACTGACCTAGATCAGAAATAACAAACCGTTTTGTGCCAGGTTTATAGATTTGTATGATCTACACCGAAAAGAAAAAGAAAAAAAAGTGTCATTTATTTTTAGTGCATTTTTATATCGATCTAAATGGTTTTGATTTTGTTCAGTTTGTCAAAAACAAATCTCAATTTGAAAAAATTAAAAAAAATGTCTATGATTAAATAGTATTTTCATTTTGATGACACATACTACCTAGCTTTACTGATTGCAGAAATTATTGTGGGTTTTTGGTAACAGTCCAAAAAGTATATATATATATAGATAGATACTGTATATATAGATTAAAAAAAAAAATTCAGTGTATAAGGCCTGCACACTGAACAAAGACTACCATGTGTTTATGGAAAATTTCCGTGTCTTCTCAAATGATTTAATTTTGTAGTATAGGTATGTGGAATAAGTAGTGGGACATTGAAATTGTTCATGTTTATTTTGCTGCTTCTAATGTTATTTTTTGGTGATATTTCACAATCTATATTTTTATCCATTATGCTTCACAGACAGTGTCTTACACCAATAAGCATACATTACCCAGTGATATCACAGCCAGGGAGATCCTGATGAGACGCCACACAAGCTTATGACGCAGCCTCAGAGCTGGAAGAGCTTCCATGGCACTGTATGTAACACTATATAAATAAGCACTTATTTATACAGGGTACAGAATGATATAAGACAAGAAAAGACCTAAAGAATGCTATCTAAAATCAGAACACAAAGTTATACATAATGGTCTATATAGTATATACACTTCTAAATATGGAAATGAGAGTCTTATTTTCTGTCACTGACCCTTTCCTTGCTCTTCTACCACCAGAATGCTGTCCCAGAAGTTTTTCTCTCTGCCCATGGGTCAGAGTCTGAACTCTGGATTTCATCCAGGGAGACTTGGTCACACTGGTGAGAGAATATACTGATTTATAGCAGTGCTACATCATTCAACCATCTCTAGTTGACCCCCTGGCTCTTGTAGCACAATCAGATGGATTATATATAGATTGCAAATGACATACAAGTTTCATTTTTCAGCAGCTATTTTCGCAATTTTCAGCAGCCATTATTCCAGTCTTCAGTGTCTTTCAGAAATCATTGTAATATGCTGAGTTGCTGCTCAAGAAACAATTCTTACTATTATCAATGTTGAAAACCGTTGCGCTGCTTAATATTTTTTGTGACATATTTTCTTTGATTCATAGAAGGTTTAAGAACAGCTTTTATGGCCTGTATGTGTTGGTGTGGTTGTGTATATGGCTAATGCATAATTTGTCATGCCATCTAGTGGGAGTTTAAAATATTACATTGATGTAAGTCAAATGATTTTCATAACTATATTAATTTTAAGCAGCTGTATTGACAGTAATATAGACAGTACACTACTCTGTTGTCTTTGTAGGAGATTTTGATACTGGATCGGAGATCGACTATCCGTCAAACAGGCCCACGTCCAGGCATCCACAGAGACTATCATCTACAGTATTGATGCCTCTCAGGCCACAAGTGGCTTAATTCCTCTGTCAACATTGTGGCTGAACAGAATGAGAAGCAGAGGGGCTACAGGATGACACATCTGGGGTCAAACGTCAGCCATTCAGGACATCAGACCTCACGTCTGCCTTATGGCTCATCTAGAAACTATAGTGACGAAGACCGTGAGGGTGAGGAGCAGCAGTCACGGTTGTCTCCACATGCAGAACAACAGTGATGTGCAGCACCCTTTGATGAGGAGACCACACTGGCTGCCACATAAACCACACGACCTGTTAATGCAGCTGGACTGCTATTACTTGTGGAATTGATCCCATCACTTTAAAAGAAACCCATAAAAACTAAACCACACTAGAGAAAACAGAAAGAACTTACTCCATGTGAAACACAGTCACAAAATATTCCTATGTAAGGACTTTACATAAAAGCTATCAGAAGTTGTAATATTCCGTATATATTGGTCCTTAGGCTACATACTGCTTTACATGCATTTTACTGATATTGGTAAAACTGATAAATTGGTGCATTGTCATTTTTATGCTGTTATAAGTTTTTTTTTATTATTGCTGAATTGAAATTTAACTTTTGGAAACTTTAGGATATATTGCTCTTTATCAGATTTAACTGGCCTATGTAAGGACTTTACATAAAAGCTATCAGAAGTTGTAATATTCCGTATATATTGGTCCTTAGGCTACATACTGCTTTACATGCATTTTACTGATATTGGTAAAACTGATAAATTGGTGCATTGTCATTTTTATGCTGTTATAAGTTTTTTTTATTATTGCTGAATTGAAATTTAACTTTTGGAAACTTTAGGATATATTGCTCTTTATCAGATTTAACTGTATTTAAGTTAAATTATTTATTTTACAGATAAATATAAAAATGCCAACTTAAACAAATTATTTTCTTTCCACATTATAAGCAACTACTTGATTCATGAAAGTTAAATTTCTGTATAGGACATAACATTAATATTGTGTGTATTAATCTTACTGTGAAATATACATGGGCACAAATATTAAAGTAAAATATATTATTACACAAACAGTCCTCTAATGTAGGAGATCATTTGACCCTGGCATGCAGCACATACTTTTTAAATGAACTATAAAATAAACTACAATAGCATAACAGCATAATTTTGTGTAGATTCAGGATTCTCTAAAATAAATTATTTTTAAAAATTGTGTAATTATATGTATGACCTTGGTATTCATAACAAAAAAGCCTACATTTAAAATAATAATTGTAAATAGATCAAATCAGATGGTGATAAAAACCAAAACAAAACAAAGACAACAAAAATAAGAAAACATTTCCCACACAGACACAACAAATGTCTGTGGTCAGGAAGATTTTGTAATGATTTTTTAAAATAGTTCTCTTATGCTCGCCAAGGCTGTATTTATTTAATCAAAAATGGATTAAAAACAGTAATATTGAAGTATTATTACAATTTTAAATACATATATATTTTTATTTGAGCATATTTTAAAATGTATAATTTTTTCTTGTGATGGCAAAGCCTAATTTTCAGCACCATTACTCCAGTCTTCAGTGTCACATGATCCTTCAGAAATCATTCTCAAGAAACATTTCTTATTATTATCGATGTTGAAAACCATACTTTTTTCAGGATTCGTTGATGAATAGAAAGTTCAAAACAACCGCATTTATTTGTAATAGAATTATTTTGTAACATTATGTTTTTACTGTCACTTCTGATCAATTTAATCTATCCTTGCTGAATAGAAATATTATTTCAAAATAATAAAAAAATCTTACTGACCCCACACGTAATTTTGAATAATAGTGTACGTGACCTATTCTTAAGTTTTTGTACAGTTTTAATGCAGGGAATTACTATAAGACCCCTTCTAAAATTAATGAATGTTCGTAAGACAAATCGAAACATGGAGACCATCAATGATGAGATTCACAAAAGGGTATGTCTTCAGTGGTTTCATTTATTTAATTTAAACATGCTTAATCAGTAATCGAGATCAGTTTAATTTTGATTCAGTTACTCTGTTTCAGTTGATGGAGCACACTGTTGCTGGCATAGAAGATCTGTGTGGACAGTGGAGTCACTACTACTGGAAAGACAAGTAGGAGTTAGACTCTTACATTTAAGCTATTTTTTCACTACACAGCTTTTCAATGGAAAACAGTTCTCTGCTGACACCAGCTTAGCAGAAGTATTTTAGTGTCATGTTTCCACTTTTCTCTGTTATCATTTCACCAGTCTCCCAAAATGTGCCAGTGGTTAGACTGGTCTTACTGCTTTGTCATGTGGACATGTGTTCCCCAATCAGCCTTAGGCTTCTGTAAATGTATCTGTCATAAAGACTGTTTCCTGTTAGATACTACCACAGCTGTTACCCTAGGTTTCTTTTGTTTTGTTTCATTTTGGAAAAATATATGAATGGATAAAGGACATTTAATTTGACTCAGTGTAAATGTGGGAGTTAAATATCAACATACAAAATCCAACGTACACTCTGTTATACTGTGATATTGATTTTGAGATTCATTCATTCCATTGGTTGCCAGGTTCATGAAGTTTAATAACCGGATAATTCGCAAGATTTTAATCCGTGATAATCATCCCGAGTCAAGCATTGTGGCTCTGTATAAGAAACTGGAGCTTCAGAACGCCATACTGGACAATATGTCCGGTGAAATCAGTGCAGCTCCCTCTTTAATTTAATTTAATGCAGTACGTCTCCTTTTTGCACTGTAACTTCTTGGCTTGTCCGCCTCTTCTCAGGAATCTCTGAAACAGTTTTTGCCTCTTATTTTTGGTTGAATTGATGTAGCTTACATTTATACAACAGTCATTTCAGTAAAGGTCTATGGTCACAGGGGCATCACAATGATAATTCTTCCCATTGATTTCTGTTTGTATTTTACAATAGCGAAGAAAGAAAGTATGCCTCAAAGTCCAGGAAGAAGTTCTTGTCATCTGATGTGACAAATATGCATGAACTCTTATCAAAGAACATGTACAAGATCAGACAGAGGGTGAGTTATGACAGAATGTCCTGAATTTACAATAGTGGAATTGCTGAAAGAAACTAAACAAACAACACCAACAAAAAAAAAAACGCCACCATTAAAAAAGGAAAAAAGCAGTCAAATGTTCATACAAAGAAATTAGTTACGAAATTGATTATTTTTAGGGCACTGACCTAGATCAGAAATAACAAACCGTTTTGTGCCAGGTTTATAGATTTGTATGATCTACACCGAAAAGAAAAAGAAAAAAAAGTGTCATTTATTTTTAGTGCATTTTTATATCGATCTAAATGGTTTTGATTTTGTTCAGTTTGTCAAAAACAAATCTCAATTTGAAAAAATTAAAAAAAATGTCTATGATTAAATAGTATTTTCATTTTGATGACACATACTACCTAGCTTTACTGATTGCAGAAATTATTGTGGGTTTTTGGTAACAGTCCAAAAAGTATATATATATATAGATAGATACTGTATATATAGATTAAAAAAAAAAATTCAGTGTATAAGGCCTGCACACTGAACAAAGACTACCATGTGTTTATGGAAAATTTCCGTGTCTTCTCAAATGATTTAATTTTGTAGTATAGGTATGTGGAATAAGTAGTGGGACATTGAAATTGTTCATGTTTATTTTGCTGCTTCTAATGTTATTTTTTGGTGATATTTCACAATCTATATTTTTATCCATTATGCTTCACAGACAGTGTCTTACACCAATAAGCATACATTACCCAGTGATATCACAGCCAGGGAGATCCTGATGAGACGCCACACAAGCTTATGACGCAACCTCAGAGCTGGAAGAGCTTCCATGGCACTGTATGTAACACTATATAAATAAGCACTTATTTATACAGGGTACAGAATGATATAAGACAAGAAAAGACCTAAAGAATGCTATCTAAAATCAGAACACAAAGTTATACATAATGGTCTATATAGTATATACACTTCTAAATATGGAAATGAGAGTCTTATTTTCTGTCACTGACCCTTTCCTTGCTCTTCTACCACCAGAATGCTGTTCCAGAAGTTTTTCTCTCTGCCCATGGGTCAGAGTCTGAACTCTGGATTTCATCCAGGGAGACTTGGTCACACTGGTGAGAGAATATACTGATTTATAGCAGTGCTACATCATTCAACCATCTCTAGTTGACCCCCTGGCTCTTGTAGCACAATCAGATGGATTATATATAGATTGCAAATGACATACAAGTTTCATTTTTCAGCAGCTATTTTCGCAATTTTCAGCAGCCATTATTCCAGTCTTCAGTGTCTTTCAGAAATCATTGTAATATGCTGAGTTGCTGCTCAAGAAACAATTCTTACTATTATCAATGTTGAAAACCGTTGCGCTGCTTAATATTTTTTGTGACATATTTTCTTTGATTCATAGAAGGTTTAAGAACAGCTTTTATGGCCTGTATGTGTTGGTGTGGTTGTGTATATGGCTAATGCATAATTTGTCATGCCATCTAGTGGGAGTTTAAAATATTACATTGATGTAAGTCAAATGATTTTCATAACTATATTAATTTTAAGCAGCTGTATTGACAGTAATATAGACAGTACACTACTCTGTTGTCTTTGTAGGAGATTTTGATACTGGATCGGAGATCGACTATCCGTCAAACAGGCCCACGTCCAGGCATCCACAGAGACTATCATCTACAGTATTGATGCCTCTCAGGCCACAAGTGGCTTAATTCCTCTGTCAACATTGTGGCTGAACAGAATGAGAAGCAGAGGGGCTACAGGATGACACATCTGGGGTCAAACGTCAGCCATTCAGGACATCAGACCTCACGTCTGCCTTATGGCTCATCTAGAAACTATAGTGACGAAGACCGTGAGGGTGAGGAGCAGCAGTCACGGTTGTCTCCACATGCAGAACAACAGTGATGTGCAGCACCCTTTGATGAGGAGACCACACTGGCTGCCACATAAACCACACGACCTGTTAATGCAGCTGGACTGCTATTACTTGTGGAATTGATCCCATCACTTTAAAAGAAACCCATAAAAACTAAACCACACTAGAGAAAACAGAAAGAACTTACTCCATGTGAAACACAGTCACAAAATATTCCTATGTAAGGACTTTACATAAAAGCTATCAGAAGTTGTAATATTCCGTATATATTGGTCCTTAGGCTACATACTGCTTTACATGCATTTTACTGATATTGGTAAAACTGATAAATTGGTGCATTGTCATTTTTATGCTGTTATAAGTTTTTTTTATTATTGCTGAATTGAAATTTAACTTTTGGAAACTTTAGGATATATTGCTCTTTATCAGATTTAACTGTATTTAAGTTAAATTATTTATTTTACAGATAAATATAAAAATGCCAACT